GGTCTCGTGCTACTCACCCCGGGGGCGGCTCCCGGGACCCGAGAGAGGGACGAGGAAGAGAGGGCGGCGCAGCAGCGAAGGCAACAACCGCCTGGATCGGACCAAACCAGGCAGACACCTCGCGGCGCGCTGCCTTTGTCCGCTCACGTCACTTCCGGGTGCCGGGAGGGCGGGGTCGGGCTGGCTCCGCCCCGCGACCGGGTTGCCCCGCCCCGCGGGCTCCGGAGCGAAGCGGACTTCTGTGTTCCAGAGGGAGAAGGGCCACGGCGTTGACCCCCTCCCGCCCACCGGTGCACTGGGAGGGTGTAAGGCCGGACTTTAAAAAGCTAGTATTCTGTGGCTTTCCCATTGGGTTAAAGAGGCGGCACAAAAGCCTTATTCCTCAAATCCCATCCAGAACAATTCACGTCTTAGAATCATATACAGATCCAAAAAGGAAAGAAGAACAAAAGAGAAATAACCTTGGCAGTGCCCAGGGGCTGCCACCCCCAATAAGTAGAATAAGCCCATGAAGCTTCCATTCCAAAAAGATTGCCCTCCCCTAGGTTCCCCCTATAAAATAGAAATTCTTCCAGCGCTCTGAGGCTAGATCTGTGGGATATTGCACGGCAAGCCTTCGGTTTTGCGCTTGCAGCTGCTATAATGACAATATCCATCCTAAGTTCATTTTCCTAAACTGGCCTCCTGGCCTTAAATTGCCAGTTCCTTCCTCGGGGTGTTGCACACAGGAGTTGCTTAAAGTGTGTTTACTCTAATGAAGTGAAAACTACATGGGGGTGCTGAAAACCCCATCTGCGGAGCCCCACACATCTGCCTATGTCCGTATTTGACATCCTCTCTAGAGTACTCAGGGCCGCACACAGGTCGGACGTGGGTCCCCTCCCAACTTCATGTCCCATGTCTCCGAGGGAAGGAGGTACATCCTGGGCACCGTCAGTCTTGTTTGGGGGCAGCTCTGAGGTTAGCTCTTTTAGGGGTGCCTAAAAATCCACTCCTTCTTCACTTCCTGTCAACAGAAGAGCAAGTCCTTACGCTACACACGGACTCCAGGTCTGGCCAGCCCCCTGACCTCAAAGCCTCTTGCATGTCTGAATTCCCAAACCTGGAGCCAGTGTTTACAGCAGGCAAGGGCTGGAGGGCGCCTTGGACATCGTCTAGTCAGCCTGATGCTGCTCATCCGTTATAAAAACAACTCACATACCATTAAAATAAGTAAAAATATATTACCTTCCCTCCTCCATACCCTACCTCCCCAAGGAGGTGTGCCCTTCCATCCAGGGCTGAGGCGTATTTGCAGGCATAGAACACAGTCTCCAGGCAGACACCTGATCGTTTATTACCAAGTGGTTTTCTTTTCATTTCCAAATTGTAAGATTACACCATGCCAGTGAAATTACGGGCCCACGCTCAGATTTCACAAATCGTGCTTGTACCCTGGAGTCCATTTTACGGGGGAGCCTGACCAAGGACGCTTGTCCCGCACGGCGCAGCGCACGGACGCGGAGCATGGGCTCCAGCTGAGTCTCTTCGCTTCCAGGCCGCTGCCCTGGCGCTGCCAGCCTTCCACCGGAAGTTCTGCTGGGCCACCAGCCCCAACATGACCCACCTGGGCCTCCTGGGCCTGGAGGGGGCAATCCCCGGCCCTCCGTTCCTGACTGGGGCCTGGCTGCCCTGGTCCGAGTTCCACGCCCCCCCCCATCCCCCCCTCCCCCGTGACTGCAGCCTTGGCGCCCTGAGCACAACAGCCCCGCCCTCTGTGCCCAGGCCTCGGTGGCCACTGCTCCTCACAGGGCCTCGGGTGAGGGGCGGATCACAATGACCCCAAGAGGCCCTGGAGGCCGCAGGGAGGGGCCAACGGTGGGGCCAGGCGGGGAAGATGGGCTCTCCCAAGCTCCAGCCACCTGCAGGGGGCGCTAAACTCCCTGGGACCTTCTCTGGCCCCGACCCGAAGCCCCACTAGGTGCGCGTGCCTCTAGGAGCCAGCGCAGAGCCGACAGCATCTGGGAGGGAGGTGGGGTAGGGAGGAGGCAGGCGGGCTTCTGTCTCCCGAAGGGAGAGTTTGTTAACAATACGTCTTGGCCCCACCGCGAACCTACTGGATCAGAACCCGGGCAGCTGTATTTTCCAAAGCTCCCCACCCGGGGGCGGGGTGGCTGGGGCCCAGCAAGAGACAGGTGCCTCCTTTGGAGCTGGTTCCGTCTCCTGATTCCCAGCAGGGCGAGCGCTGGGAGCGGCCACAGCCGGGGCCACCCCGTTCCGCACGCAGCGGGCGCGCTCCAGGTTACAGCCTGATCGGCACCTTGTGAGGCTGAGACTGGATCCTAGACACTAAGCC